GGGGGGGGGGAGGGTAGAAGAAGAGTTTTCCTTTGTGAGTTTCTTGACAGCAATAATTCGGAAAGGCCAGTATGATACATAAAATTACATTTTTGTGATATGATTGACTGATTACATAAAGAGGTCAAATCATCACAGGACATGTTGAGTAATCAAGTCTGTTTAACATTAAGTTTACTGAGGGTCAACCTGGCTCAAAAGGCTAAGACCTGGAAAAATACAATCGTATAAGATCCAGTGATATGTTGAAACTCCACTCTTAGCCTAGTAGTTCAATGAACATGTAATAACAAGGTTATATCCGGAAAGTTAGGTCATGATTTATACTATGCAGGCTAAGAAGATTACTGTTAGTGCTTTTGTGACCTTTCATTACAGATCATGTCTGTATGTACAATCCTGGTTGTACATCCAGTCTGTTGACTCTGTTCGTATCATCAAGTCTGTCAATATTCTTGTCCAAGAAATCTAGTTTTGGGTTGATTAAATTCATTGGGTGATTCCAGAAAATATCCATACCCATACCATGGGCAGCATCTCGGAATTCCAAGGGAGAGGGGGGTTTCTTGGACTGCATGGGGGGTTTCAGCTCTAAATTTCCAGAGGGAGAATATGGCGAAAGCTTCACTTGAAATTGCTTTTCAGTTAACTTTTCTAGTTTGTAAATCAAGCACGACCTGACCACGGAAGTAGGATAAAGATCAATCAAGCAGGTGTTGGCGTTCATGCAGATGTGAGAGCAGATGGGTTGTGCAACAATATCAGCATCGAAGAGGCCTTAAAGTTGATGAATTAGTAGATAGATTAATAAAATATAAAAAAGTCTGTGTTTCTGGTTGCGTGCAAAAAACGTGCACCAGTCTCTCATTTCCAAATGGAATGCCTGACACATTTGTACTAGTCTGCATTACTATAGGTCAGCAGTTACTCAATGAACAAACTTTTCAATATGACAGGTGACGGCACATCGTGAACTTTACTTTTGTCTTCCAGTGGTATCAATATGATCTACTCTCCTTAAAATATCAAGCTAATGAATGGAAAATTTCAGAGGTAAGCAAGTTACTTAAAGAAGGGAAAGCTACGGTGTACTTTATTAAACGTTAACAGACTTGAGTTGCTTGTTTGCTTGACCGAAAATTGTGAGCAGAATTTTCTTGGAGGGAGGGAAAAGCGCAAGTTTCCCGTTCATTAGAAGTTCTGGGCAGTCAAACAGGAATTCCAAAGGGTCTGAAAAAGATTGGAAATTCTGGAGGGGAGGAGATGTTAACGATTTTGGAATTCGGAGGGCATGGGGGTACAGTATTTTGGAATTTCCGAAGGCAAGGTGGGTTTAAATGTTCATGGCACACGTGGTATAGGATATAGATATTTTTCTGGAATCAAACATTTTCAATTTTAGTGCTCTCAAATTCCTTCTTGCATCAGCCTAGTGAATGTTCAGTAGAAATAATTTCAAGCAAAACAACTCACTTCACAAACTTTGAATGCCAAAACAACATTACAGAAAAATAAGATAATTTATTTGTGGTCTTATCTTCCCAGTAGACCTGAGAGACAATTAATCTTCTGCGAAAGCTTGGAAATTCTTATCTCTGACCACCTAGCCTTGCTCACCTCTCTGTTCAACTGAGATATTTTATTCCCTTTACAAATCCCACAGATGCAGGGTTCGACATCTGATCAGCTGTATTAGTAGCCACCAGGCTAGTCATTGCTGAAATTTACTAGACTGAAACATGACTTTGTAGCCCAGGTCAGTTTCCCTCTCAGGCTCTATTTTCACATTCCTTACTTTGCCCCTTACAACATACATGAAAAGAAAGACTAATCTAGCATGGGCCCTATTGGTTTCTAGCTTAAAGTCTGTGTTTCAACCGAACATGAATCTGAATGATCATACCCTCTGCAAATGTCACAGAACATCTTACCCTCGCTGTTCATAACATGATACTGAAGCCACGAAAAACTTTCTTTCCACGATAGACTAAATGCTCTTTTCCTTTTATTGTTCTCATTTTTCCTGCTTTTTTTTCTCTTCCGTTTCACTGGTCTTCGCCTTTTTGCTTGGCGGCGCTGCTTTATTGCTCCATCTTCTCTACAATCGCTTCAAGTGCGAGGTGATGTGCAAGGCGTTGCAAGATGGGTAGGGAGAGAGCTAGGGAGTGCATTTTCCACTAAGCATAGGGTCTGGTTTCCAGTGATATTTTACGACAAGATAGACGCCACAGAGTGGTACTTTTGTACTTTCTTTACTAATATTATCCCTACAATTTAAAGGTTTTTTGTTTTCTTTAACAATTATGAACTTAAAATGCACGAAATAAATATTAATTCTTTCAATTTTTTTTACTAGCCTGCAGGCTATTAAACATGACATTTTACTAGCCCGATCTCATTTCTACTAGCCTCGGGCTACCGGGCTAGCGGAGATGTTGAACCCTGCAGATGTTACCTAAAAAAGTCAAAATCCAGGAGATTGCCAATTTTACCCTCTTGGCCCTAAAAAAAGTGCAAAGTAGAGTGCTGCCACTTCAACCACCAAAATGCGTCAAGTAACAAAAAATTTCCCCAAAACTTGCTCAAAAAGTGTCTGAAAAAATATATATCATGTTCTTTCCTTCATATTGTGCCAGAGATTTGGTGACCCTAACAGGAGACCAGGCGATTCGGTCTGTATCTCAGAGATGGGAAAATTGGCACAGACGAAATCTACATATACTTTGTCTGTTGATTAACATCATTAATTTCTTATTCATAAGGGGACTTTGGACACTGGGCCCTCATCCAATCAGAACAGGCGATGTTGTTTGACATCAGTGTTATGAAACACATATGCCATGGTCTGAGAAATTAGACGGGTAAACAACTTGTTTGCTGAAGATCAATTACAAAATAAATTACCGTCATTTTGCGATTTTCTTTGAGGGCCTTGGCTTGTTTCTGTCTTTCCTTCATGGCTTCAGAACCCGTCACGAGCGTAACTGCCTTCTTCTGTTTTTGAAAGAACGGAATCAATGATAAATTGTGGCGACAATTCAATTACGATGTCGATGAATAAATAGAGGTTCATTAGCCGTCAGATTCACGAAACTCAAGTTCGACAAGTTATTGCTTATATCGTCAATGATTAAATGCCTTAGAATTAAACTAAACAAGAGTTATCGTGCACCGTGGCTGACCAAAGTTAGACGTCATAAAATATTAAATTCCATTAGAGTACTCCATGATAAATGCAAACTCGACCGTATCTGTTGGACAGATTACAGAATAAGTAATTAATTTTGTTACCCAAACGGTCGGTATTAAATAGTGAAACGTGTTTCTTCATAGAGTAAACAGCTGAAATAACTTTGCCCAATGTTTAAACAGATCGTTTAATTTAAGCATGCGAATATTCATTCTCTCTAAATTGATGAGTAATTGCAATGATTGTATTACTTCGAATCAAAATATCAGGTGGAGTTTCAAAACTTACCGGGCCAGTGTTCGCGGCAGTTCTGCCGGCCGATCTTGGAGCACCTCGTCTTTTAGGCCCCTTCTTTGCTTCTTCGTCTATAAAAGGACAAGGCAGTTTTACATAGCTCACAGGAAGATCTCGAACGGAAGACATAATAGGTCTTAATAATCCCACACGACCAAAGACGCAGTCTATGTAAAATTAATGCCAAGGTCCAAGGAGCGAGCGCACTTCGAACGAAATTATGATCTCGTCTTGAGCAACCCCTCGTAAATGCGACAACAAAAAAGCGTCGTGTAGAGGTCTGTATGCAGAGTTTACGTTAACGTAGAGCTGATAAGTAAGGTTATGTGTATACATACCTTTGGCATTTGAGATCAGAGGAGGCGCAACTTCACCGCTTGGTGGTGAAGCCGCTCGCGATTTTGCAGCCTCTTCTTGTGGCGCCTCCGACATTATTCTTTGAATTTCCAACGCCTGCGGCTACGAATCTCGTCAAAATTCCATCAACGTTAAGAAAATATAGCCATAAAGCACTTGTCTGCACTTTTTCAGAGCTTCACAAGCGATTTCGATGTATATAGTTCAGACGAAATCACTCGTTCAGGGCCCTTTTTTCAGATTCTGTCTCCAAGGTGACGTTGTGCTCAACAGCGCGCGTGAATCATGGAGTCATTTGATTGGCTCTTAGGCTAATGGGTTAGATTACTTTCAAATCCCTTCATGGTTTTCTATTGATTGTTTTAGAAGAGGAATGACAGCATTTATTGTTGCTTCCCGCAGCTAAAAGAGGTAAACATTTATTAAGCACTTTGGGAATTTGGGTTTCATGTTACTTGGGTCGGTGGAAGGATTCAATACAGGGTCATACAGGAAATAGGCCGTGTTGGACAATATAAACTTCCAACTAAAAGTTTAGACGACCGAATGATGCCGCAAAGGATAAAAGCACAGAATATTTGGTTTCGCATGACGAGCCAAACGTAGGAGACCGTAAAGAGAAAAGCTCACACTAAATAATTGATTATTTATTATGTTTACTTCCATCGTGATCTTGTGCAGGATAAGCAATAGTATGATAAATTTCAGTGAATTTCTCCGAGCTGGCATATTAACTAAGACTGTGTATGTTCGTTGACTTGAATAATAATAATAATTCTGGTCACAACCAGGTCTTAAATTACATGTAGTCCAGTCTAATCTTCTTTGTCACGAAACGCTGACGAGGAGTTTTGTCATGTGGCTTCATCAACCTCGTTGTTCCCAGGGTTATATTTGGTCACACGACAGGAAAATGGCGAAATAACGAAATGGGGGTAAGAGTCAATGTGGGGTGTGGGTGTGTGTAAGGGATCTGTCAGAGGGCCCAGCATAGATTTGGCAAGATGCAGGATGAGAGAATGAAAATGAAGGCGGGATACGGAGTGACAGGACTTTTATGATGAAAAATATAAAAGAAGAAGCCGACACAACGTAGGATAATCTTTTTTGGCGGACGGGAGGCTGAATAGTTATAAAAATGACGGAGGATGCGGAATGAAAATCGGAAAATCACACGTTACGGGCGTTACGCGGAGAACTGCGACCAGGCGGCCGGATCTTCTCGCGCGCTCATTGGCTAATTTTCAAAGTCAATAAGTGGACAGACACATCAATTTACGAGAGCGAGAGCGGACAATTTGACAATTTGTTATCGTAAAAACAAATTGACGTCAGTTTTTCATGCGTCTGTCCTCTTATGGATCATGAATTTCGTCATAACATTGTCAAAGTAGTCTGCGGATCCACCGGCATCCACAGTTACTTTGGCAGTGTTATGACGAAATTCATGATCCATAAGAGGACAGACGCATGAAAAACTGACGTCAACTTGTTAAAATTCTGACTGGGGAGAGATGGCGGGATGACCCAATAAAAGTGGCGGTATGTGGGATTGAAAAATCTATGTTGGACCCTCGTTAAGGATCGTCTCTTTACCGATGGAATTGGAAAGCGAAAAAACTGAAATCGTCAACAAGAATGCAATGAAAACAAAGAAAACAAAAACGCTGACGAGATTCATAGGTTGCTTTTGTATTTTATCCACACAATTATTCCATTTATTACATGGTAAGACAGTCTTCAAGGGTATAAATCCGAACGTTCTTATTGGTTCTTTCTTGGTCTGGATTTTGCCATATAGATAAGCCGCCACATTAAATAAACAAGCATGACCCGAGTGCTATCTAATAACTGACCTATGTAGCTTGCTCGAGTCGTACTGGGGAGACAACTCATTCTATTTCACATTTAAATTGCTCTGGGATAACGATGCTGGACCAAAGCTAATATTAGATGATATCGAGAAAGCATTTGAATAATTTTGAAGGGTCCTTGTTCCTCCGTGTAAAATTAGCCGGGACGTAATCTAACCAATGCAACGCGAGAGTGGAAATGATTAAAATATCGGAAAACCTCAGGCTCACGGGAAAAAATTAGCGAGTTAAAAAAATAGCGACCAAAAGCTGCTCACAAGTAGATCGGTTTAGACCTCGTCTCGTCGCGTCAGATTGGGACAGCCACAAGTAGCCTGCTTAACAGGCGTTCATGTGCAAAGGCACGCGAAGGGAACGAAACTGCGAGCGAGGGCAAAAAAATAAGGAAAAGGGGCACTCGTTTGCTCGATCTCCCCACCTGGAAAATGGAAAGGAAACGCGCTAAGCAGGCTAAGCCTGACAAGATTCACCGAGATCTTAGGACGAAAGGAAATTAAGGTGGAGATCAACTGGTTAAAGAGATTATCCTTAAACAAAGAAATGGAAAACAAAACCTTTCTTGCTGTTCACCGCGCAAAATTTTAATTTTCTAGCACCATTACATCATTACATAGCACCACGGAACTACATTGTGTGCTTTGGCACAAAAATGACTACATCACAAAAATATTCATCTCAATCAAAAAGTTGGTCCGCGGTTTTAGAAACAACGCGTTCCTCAGTTGCAAAATACTTGATTATCGTAATTCACTAATTAACTCCTAATCACTCGAATGTCACTGGGCAACAGAGACAGTGACGAAATTGCTCAAAAATGCTAAACCGTCGGTCCGATAGTTTGCTCAACCACTACATAACGTTACTCAGATATGAAAGAAAGACTCGGTTAGACAGTCTCTTATGCTTGCTTGAGAACCTCGTCTTGCATGGCTGGGATGAGGCCTTTACGGAAAGCAATGGACAGCAACTCTTCAGCGGTCGGGGTCTCAGGGTACTGACGGATGGCCCATTTCAGGTACAAGCAGAATTCGTTCCAATCCACGGATCCATCTTCATCCATGTCGATGGCTTTCAAGGCCAACTTGGTCTCGTCGCACCTGTAGCATCCAAAGTACGGTGCCAAAAAGCCATTGTAGAAAGCATCAAACTCCAGCTTGTCGTCTCTCTTACCATCTCGCAGATCCCACTCATCCCACATTGCGCGGATCTCGTCAATCAGCTGCTGAGCGTGAACCCTCTTCGGTTCTTCTGCAGCAATGGCGTCACTCATCTTCTCGGTCAGACTGCCACCGGATCGGTCGAACAGCAAGGCGATACCCACGGCGCTCATGTACTCTTCCTTCCTGTTCTTGTGGAGATCTTCCAACATCACCTCCAGCATTCGTTGGCCTCTCTCTTCAGTAAATTGACGATCTTTACCAAAAAGGAATGTCAGCCTGTCGACAATCATCTTTGGCGATGCAAGGGTAGTCATTCGCATGACGTGTCGTTCACCAAAGAAAGTGGCCATGTCAAACTCTTTCTTGTCTGGTGTGAAGTTAGGCATGCCGAACACCATGTCCAGAGCTCGCTCGCCATACACAACCTGCAAGGGCCAAGGTTCATGCCCAGTGGTGATCCTGCAGACTTCTTGCGCAGCTTCTCGGAGGGCTGTGCAGTTGTACTGCTTAAGAACCTTCTTGTTTCCAAGGCGTATCAGATTCAGCAGCATGACGGTGGAACAGGAGTGGCCCATGGAGGCTCCTTGTATAATCAGACTTGCCCAGATGCCATTTGCGCCGTTGGCGAGACATTCCAACTGAGTGCTGTCTTGCAATCCCCACTGGTTGTGGACATGGATCAGCAAGTGTCCGTCCTGGAAACCACAAGCGTCCATCTCTCTTCGGATGGCTTTCATCCACACACCAAGCTGTTCTGGGAGGTACTTGCCAGACTCTTCCGTCACCAGGCCAAAGGGTCGTTCATCTTTTGGCAGAGAAGATAAGAACCTTATCACCTTAAAGATGCGCTTTGGTTTCTTCACCATACCATCAGGAAGGTCACGCAGGTTGATAAACACTTTGGCATCCTTGGCGAGGTTTTTACGGATCCACCTCAGCCTCTCTCGCAGAAGATCGTTGATAGCTTCAACTTTGAACTTCTTGTAGTCGATCCCCCTGTAAACCAGATCCATCTCGATGATCGCATTCTTTATGCCCAGCTCTTTCATTTTTTTCATACCAATTGGAACGGTCTTGGTATCTGGCACCCTATCTTTATCGATGGATTCCAGAAACTCTGAGAAGGCATAAAGGTTGGTGAAGTCTTCTCCCTTCTCATGGAGCTGCTTGATGAACGTGTCACCCAAGCGAGTCATGTGGGAAAAAGAGGCCACAATGATGTGCTTGAAACCAACCTTTTTAATCTAGTTGTAAATATTGAAAGAAAACAACGTCAATACTGACTTTTCATTACGTTTAAAATCAAGATTTATACCACCCAAGTAGAATTAAATATTCGCGCAAATTTACAAACCACTAAAAGATATTTAATTTTATTTAGTTTATTCTATCAGCTCCATTTAGAGGTGCCCTATGTTTTATTGTTATTAAGAGTTTTTATCAACCTCGTTTCCAGGGTCTCTCATCTTACCGCCACCTCTCCTCGCTCGCTCCAAGGTGCAGCAAGATGAGAGACCCTGGGAACGAGGTTGGAGTTTTACGTATATGATTAATATCGGATGTCCCCAATTTGCAGGCCACTTGTAGTCAGTTGGAAGCGAAGACACATTGATAAAGTTAATGATTGTTCGATCGATCGATCGACTGAGTTTAAAAACGATTGCTGTTGCTTGAGTACATACATAACCCATGGTTAGCGGCGTATGGATAACCATTCTTTATGTAGTACAATTTTTCCTTGAAAAAATAGCATTTTGAACGAAACATTAGACGAGGTGATGAATTTATCAGGAGTTTTTATTTTCAAGATGGAAACGGCGGCCATGTTGGTGTCAGAAACCATAGGCCATTTCCGAGTAACCTTGTGCTTCTGTTTTAAAACGAATCTTGCGCAAAACTTTCTTTATGACAACGAGTTTAATTTGAATGAAAATGAACTTACAGATAAAATGCATTTTCATAACAATGGTTTCACACGAAGACTTGTCTTGACACAGGGCAAAGGCAACTCGGAAGTGGCCTATTCTGTGGGAGTTAAACTCTTTTTTTTTTATGTAAACACTTTCCTTTGTTCCAACAAATTTGCATGGCTGCTCTCTGGGCCACGTGAGTGGAAACGCTCTTTTGAATGTTTCACTCCTCGGATGTATGACGGTTGTTGTTGTCGTCAGCTACATGTAATTTCTTCGAGTTTTGATTAGTTCACTGTAATGCTTGTGGCCTCTGTGATTGGCTAGAGCGGTTACTTTAGCTTTGATTTTACGACAATCAATTGAGACCGCTCTAATACGAAGAGGGATGCTTCGAAATTAGATTAAAAATTTGGAATAGTAGACACCCACCTGCTCGTAAATTTTCCATTTGTTCTCGATGGTGTGTCCTCGCAGCTGACCGACCGTGCTCTCACGCAGGGAATTGTCCAGAATGAACAGCTCGTTGTGTTTGAGGTTCTTTTTCTGTTCACTAGCATGCTGAATTTCGTCGTGCATTCGCTTTACTTGTTGCTGAATATGCTTTTTCTCTTCACCCATTTTGCTATGATCAGACGTCTGAGGAGAAACAAATAAATATGCTATGAGATTGTCATGGTAATTTAAAATAAAGAAACGCACCGTAAATGTATCTTTCAAATAATACTTCTTTGAAAGGCTGTAAAGCATCGAAATTAACGTGGTGTTTACTTTCGGATCTAGCAAAACTTAGCTTTCGGGAAATTGGTACGTACTTTGGGGCCTGGGGAAGAGGGATACTCCCAGAAAAACTGGGTGGGGGTTTAAGACCAAAATCTGTGATTTTCCTTACACTATTTACGACCTGATCAAAAATTCGATACCCTATTTAGACCAGATCCTTAAAATCAATACCTTGTTCCAGACCTGCTCTGTAATTAGTTCCCTTGTTCACTTATTTTGGTTAGAAAAGAAATCGCGGAAGGAAGAAAAGCCGGCAGGAAAAGCAAAAAGCAAACAAACAAACAAACAAACAAAACAAAACAAAACAAAAAACAAAACAAAACAAAAACCGGGGCCCCCCTTAGCTAAAGGTCTGGATCCGCCTCAGGTTCAGACCGATGTTAAAGGCATTGTGGTGGGCTATTGTTGATGGTGTTCTCGATAAGGATGAAAAAAAGTAGCTGCTTCTACAAAACATACTCAAATCAAGACTAGAGTGCAAAAACCATACCCTATTTGAGACCAAAATGGACAAAATTGATAACCTATTCCTGGCAAAACAGTTGAAAACCATAACCTTCGAGGCCGCACATCTATATAACCCGTATGTGTGTATAAGCTCTCGAGAAGAAGGGATAAAATCTTGCAATTGTGAAGAATTTATTTTACACCAGACAGAGAAATTTATATGGCCTTTATAATAAGGGTCCGATCTAAACCGAATATCAGATCTTTATGGATCAACACGTGTCTGTTATCTCCATCGTTTCTCGTGGCAATTCAAATTTCGTTTGAGGTCGAAATATGGAAAAGAAATTGAATAAAAACGACGTACTTTGACTCTTCTCTGTGTTACTTTTGTTCCCGTGCCGTTTTGGGGCCATTTCAAACTGATTCCCAGCGAGTTTCAGCTTCATCCTTCTCCCCTCTATATATTCCTCAAGGTAGGAAACTCGAGTGGCGAACCCAGCAGATCGACTGAAGGAAAACAGCCATAAATTCGCTCCAACAGTAACACCCAGAGGAGTCGAAGTAATTTAATTCAATTTCTTCTCCATATTTTGAACTGTTACATATGATCGTTACATCCCCATACAAACTCTTATATTTACGCTGTTACGCAATGTCATACAATCATATTCACGACTCCCAGCTACCCAAGGAGCTTGGGATACCTGTGCTAACGCCGTGTCAGTTCAGACTCACGAGGGTTCTTTCCGCCCGCGACTCACACAACGCGCGCATGCCGCTCTGTCTCGTAGAATTAATTTATTAATCAGCTTTTCAACTGTCTAATTGGAACTGGACTGAAATTTGGTATTATGTATTTTTTAAGGCAATCGGCAAAAAAACCCCTGAAAATCGGCGAAAGAAAACCGCGAGAGAAAAACGGCCGCGCGAAATCCTAGGGGCGAGGACCGTTCTCAAAACGTAAAAGTATAATCGGCTTATGTTAGGAGAGTTGACAACGCGTTGTCAACATTCGAGATACGTGTGACATCTTGCGGGAATATTTGGAACCGAAGCAAATCGAAGCGTTGGACTCGCGCTTCGCAAGCCGTGATGTTCTTGCGATTCTGCCAACAGGCTTTGAAAAGATTTAAATTTATCAAGTGTTTTGTTTGGCAGAGCTTTCCGCTTCCAACCCGACTTCGAGCGTGTTAGTGATTTCGCCGCTTGTCCAAGAACAATTCAGTGAATATGAATTCACTGAGCTTGGCTTTTCTGCCGTCCATTAGAAAGATTGAACCGGAATTTCACCTGAAACCGGACATTTACCTGAAACTTTCCGCTGCTATCGGCAAACATTTCACCACAGTTGGATGATCTCCTATGTCAAATACCTAATGTAAATTCTCGGTTGAAACTCGCTATAACTTTTCGATTTACACCTACAAATTTATATTCAGGATATCTCCCGGGGTTATTGTCAACAGGCGATAATAAGACGACGTCAAGATCAGAAGTCCTACACCGAAAAATCACTCGGCCGTGAAAGGTCAAACTTCCTGGCTTTTAGGAGAATCTTTGTTTACAATATTTGCCTTATTACCATAAGCGATACAGTTTCTGATGGAGCTACAAAGAGATTAATACTGAATATTGAAAGGGCACAGCACGATTAACTGTCCCAAGGAATTTGAGCGCGATGTATTGAATACTTTTTGTGCGACGAGGGTTTAAAAGCTCAAAATTTTACAAAGAATGTATGAGCTCATTAGCGCTTTTGCCACACAGAAATTTTGATGTTTTTGAAAGCCAATTTCTCCTCGAATATTACACCCAAAGAGCCAAAAATTTCACCACTTACTAAGTTTCACAAGCTCTTTAAGTTTTTCTAGTAAAATCGTGTCTAGCATGATGCCTTCTATGCGCAAAGTCGTATGTTAATGAAGAAAAATGCAAACAATGACGTCAGCAAAGATTCGCCTATGAGGCGGTCGCACGCTCCTCGTCCCCAGGATTTCGCGCGGCTATTTTCTTTCGCGTCACGCACGGCGGACTACTCGTAGTCTTGAGAAAAAAATATGTATGTTTGATCTCGAATAAATCACAATAGCATTTGAAATTATACATTTTGCGTCATAACAATAGATGAACCGACAGTTCATCTACAAGACATGTTTTGGAAGTCATGAAAGTTTTGTTGGTTTTCTTTTTCGCGAGCTCGAGAACGAGGAGTCCGAATCACGAGTAGACTGCTGGCAGTCTGTTTTTCTCTCGAAATTCAGCAGGGGCTATGAGGAATGACGCTTTAGCGAAAAGGGGAATGGGGCGAGACATGGACGCCCTTCTGCGTTCGCGATGATTTAACACCCGTTTAAGTGACCCTTAGAGAAAAAAAAGACTAAATCACGAGACTAAATCACGAGAGATCACGTTTCCTGTCGTTGACCGTCGTTGTCCTTGCTTTTTTTAAACAAAAATAAAATTTGCTGCCAATCAAATCTTGAACATTGAAAGCAAATGTGCATGCGCCTAGTCAGCCAAGAAATCAATAATTCCGAATTTTTGCGGTTCATTATTTCTCATGAAGGCGTGCGTTTATCACACAACCTTTGTATCTTGAATAATGATTAGAGTTCTGCAAGGCAAGGCGTGGCAGTAGACGCTGGTTACAAGAAAAATAAATATCTTTATATGACTAGTATGTAAACATCTGGTAATATAGTCGAGTAAAAGATGTTACACAAGTCTGACATGTACAGAGAGTAAATGATGTCCACCTATCGATCGAGTATCCAGACTTTAGCAAGAATGTCTGAGTTCAAAGCGGCCAAATATCCGCAAGCTCTGTTTACTGAAGTCGTTTAATGGTTACGCCATCAATGACAAAACGAGGATTGCAAAGTGGCATATGAAAACGTGGCTCGGCCGACGGGAATTTATAAATTTATTAATTGTGAGCATAACGGTCTAACGACGGGGATATTATACTCCGAACAGAACAGCGATAAAATTACCGACTTACGGTCCCGGCCTACGGTATGCGAACTGGTACGTCCGTAGTTTTGTATCTGTAGCTGAGCTGCGCGGCAAAGGTGATTGCTTTTCCTACCTGAACCTCCTTGCGTGCACGGTTGAAATTGTTGATAGCTTCACTTCAAAGATGGCAGAAGCAGTCCCTGCTGTCGCTGTCCAAGCCGAAGTGTGGAGCTTTCATTCGGAGCTTGCATTTACTTTATTTACCGTTTAGACTGCGATTCCTGATTGGTCAAAAATGATCACCTTTCCGGCATTCGTACACGTCACGTACCCTCTATGCACGTGGGAGTGTGAAGGGTTTGTACAAACAGTCCCTCAAAACAACAGGCAAGTCAAAAGAAAGGATTAGGGAAATATCACGATACAAAAACGTCTTCTGATTGGTTCAAACTATTCACCTCTCTGACTCTTGATCTTACGTAGGCGTAATTTAAAATCATTGCAAAATAAATCAGTCCTCAAGGGCAAACAAGAAAAACAACAAAGGTAGGCGTCAGTTGTCTTTTCCACCCACCCAAAACATAACTTGCTACAGCTCGCGGCACATAAAGCATACTTTCACGAGCACTTTTCTCTCCATGCAACACTTTTCTTTCCATGCAAAACTTGGATTCGTGTTTATGAACTGAGACGCTGTCATGCAAGTCGATTATTTGTGGATCATTTGACTTTTGAGGAGGGAGGAGGAGGGGAGGAAGTTATTTGGTACAGGCAGGCATTTTTTTAAAGCCCTTTCATGCACTAATAATTTTTTTCTCAGAGCGCGTGTATGCCTGATTTTGTGTTCTCTGTGTAACATGCTTTTTTGGCTTTTGAATATGTTTTTTTCGGCAATGATCGTGTGCATGAAATTTTTTTGGTACAAGTATACTTTCATGTGGAGTTAGACATGTGGACTAAATCATCACGTACGAACTCACGTACCCTCGTACAGCAAGCTCAGTTTTAGCAGATGTGTTCGGTAGCAATTAACACAGTCCTACCGGATGCTTGATAGGAACAGCACCTGAATGAGAGCGGAAATGCATTCAATAACACTTTCAATGTTTATCGCCACGATAACAAAAGACATCGTCGAATTGACGCTTTGAAAATAGAGCAGCCGAAAATCTTGTTAACAAAGGCTTGTGTATCCCTAATATATTACAAATTCGTATCCCGTCTCTCCAGACATCGGTTTGCAAGAAAATGGGCTAGTTTCCCCTGACGGAGAAACAGATATTTAGTGCAAGCATGCAGATATAATTGCCACGTGGGAGGTGACCCTCGACATTTTTGATAATTTTTTTTGGTATTTTCGTTAAGGGCCTGCCGAACATTTGAAGAGCTTTTGAAACTTAGTAATTGGTGAAATGCTTGGCTCTTTGGATGTAGCATTCCGAAGAGAAATTCATTTTCAAAAACTGCAAAATTTCTGGGTGCTTCGAAAGCGCTAATAAGGTCATGCATATTTTGTACAAATTTTGATTTTTAATCCCGCGTCGCACAAATTAAAAAGTATTCAATACACGTCGGGCCAAAATTCCTTAGAACAGTTAATCATGCTATGCCCCTTCAATATTCAGACCTAATATTTTTTGTAGCTCGATCAAAAACTTAATGGCTTGAGCTAATGAGGCAAGAACAAAGATTCCCCAATTCCAGGCTCTAAAATTAAAACGAGGAGATGTCAAGGACTACTGTAAGGCTGACACAACGTGGTATATTTAAAACAATATTTCGGCTGGGCAGATCAGCCTTCTTCAGGTTTAGATGATACTAAATTATAACTAGTGGTTTCAAAGTGGAAGTGAAGTGCTGCCCCATGTAGAAAGATGGTGGGAGTGAGACGTGAAGATATCACATGGTGTTGGAGATCGTTGGAAAAATATAATAAATTAATATCGCAGAAATAAGCAAGTTTGAAATTGAATTCTAAGTTGTATTTTTATTTAAGCCTTGTTTTCTTTCTTAAGGCATGAGTCTTGCAGCTTCGCACTCAAAACGTGATAGATATTTTGTTTTTACAAAAACGGTAAGTTACTCAGTGGCTTGTCATATCAGGGGTAAATTTAAGTATTATTATTCCGTTTGTTTGCCTCGGTAGGTAATTTGCTTGTCTCATTCGCCTCGTTGGGCAAATTAGAATTCAGTTTGTTCGCCTCGCAGGGCGATTCACTTGTTTTAATCGTCTCGTTTGGCAAAGTAGAATTTAGTTTGTTCACCTCGCTGGGCAATTCACTTGTTGTATTCGTCTCGTTGGGCAAATTATAATTCAGTCTGTATACCTCGCTGGGCAATACTCATGGACCCAGCGCGGTGAGACTCATGAAAGAATATCGTCTTCCCCTCAATTCATCACTAAAACGTTCGCTACCCTCAGGAACACTTCTCCAAATACTTAAATTTACACCTGACAAGACAAGCTACTGAGTAACTTACCGTTTTAGTAAAAAGCTTACTTTCGCATTATCTTGTACAAACAGACACCCTCAAGGCTCAAGACGAGATATCAACACAGAAATAGGAGGCTGCCCTATGCGGGCAGCAAAGATATCAACAAAGAAATATGAGGCTGCCCTACACGGGCAGCAAAGACATCAACACAGAAATAAGAGGCTGCCCTACGCGGGCAGCAAATATGAAATTACAATATTATATAATTGTGTATGTTGTAACGTAACACATATTTCGAAACTAAAAGGAGTGGCGGAAATGACGAACAAAACAAACTAAATATAGTTAAGATAAACTAAATATAGTTAAGATAAAACAGGTCTCTGTAGGTTACAAGTTTTACGATTCATCGCGTCTATTCAAAGTGTGGGGTTCCATTGAACCCGCTAAATGACGCTAAAGAACTCACTGGAATTTTCTGATTGAATAACGTGAGGAGTGGACAAAATCAAGCGGGATTAGTTGCGTGTCAGTGTAGCAGTGATTAGGATGAGAAAGAAAATGTTCGACAACAGTGCTGGGTTTGTATTAAATCAAGCAAGACCTTCGTTCACGGCTTTGCATTTTTCTTTAGTTTGTTCTCTAAAATTAGAACGCGTGACCTCAGCTAACCGACCAGCTTTCCTTTATGTACTCACTGGAGCAAAACTTCAAATGTGCCGATTTCGTGAAAATTTGTTTTGTCTAATTTCCAGGCCCGTGTAAAACAGATTCTATTTAGTCAAAAATGGTCAAAAGTCTCGTTTTATTTCTGATCAACATTGCTCCATGAAAGTCATACCCTTATCGCCAAATTCAATACCTTTTGAGG